CAGGAATCTGAGCATGGTTATAAATGGTCTAGCAAAGCTTAAATTCATTTATTTCTAGTCTTACTAGAATTGTAGTCCATTTACCACTACAATCCTGCCATCTCAAAATTACTTTGTATTGTTAAATACAAGTAAAGGGCAGTATTCCCATTGTTTACCATTGAGTGCTTTGTAGTGGCTTTTCCTTCAGTGTGTGGGTTGCAGAGAATAGAAAATGTGAACTGGCTGTATATGGAGTGATTACAGATGGCTTTGAGTAAGAAGTAGAAATCCTACTGCACTGTACTTACAGTAGTCAAAAGCTAACAAACAATTTTTTGCTCAGCATTGAATTTTTTGATTTTCTCTAAACCCCTAGTTTGCTTCTACCAAAAAACTGTAATCTTGGTGTGTTTGAGATGTCTCTGGTCAGATAAGCCACCTCAAAAATGCTTAAAACCAATTATTTGAAATTATGTAATCAAAAGTCCTAACATGAATTCAGTTCATTTTTTAAAAATTGATTTGGACACAGTAAGGCACAGTGACAACACTAAAGCAGTGTTATTAAATGCTACTGAAGATTGAAAGACAACATCAGGCTTCTACGGCTAGATCGGTGTTATAGATTGGAGACATATCCTCACTGGTTGTGTCTTCTTAAGTTTTTTTTTAAAAGGTTTTAACTGTGTTAAAACAGATCTGCAAATATACAAGAAGTTTCTGGAAAATGAAAATGCCCAAGAGCATTCATCATTCATCATCATTCATTGTTTTTAAATGGAAGTTTGGGAACACCAACCAGAACTGAAGCACCTATCAGGTCTTTATATCAGGATGGGTAGACTGAAGCTGTGCCTTGTAGTTTTTTAAATGTAGTTTTGCATGGTATACATACCGGAAGGATACTGCAATACTCTGCTGTTTCTAAAAACACAAATTTATGACTAATACCAGTGTTTGAGAAATGACAGTGTTCCAAAGAAAGTTGTAATTTCTGCATTTTATGTGCAACAGCGGCGCAGTGTTTTCCTGAGCGCACTACTTCATTTCCCTGCAGGCATAGTGGGCGGGCTAATGCTGCAGCTATCACAAAACAAGACACACAGTTCCCAAAACAAGTTTCTTGCATACTGTTTACAGCTAGCCAACAAAGTGAATGCATAGGATACACTGAGTAGTAGATGGCAGTTGGGGTAAGCTCAAACATCTCTGAAAGTTGTTGTTTTTTTTGGGGGGGGGGGGTCTTTAAAAATTGAGATAGACCAAAGAAGCCAGCTTTACATTCGTCACCTTTTTTCCCCCTAAAGGATTCAAAAAGAAGAGGGAATATGATAACTATTGCATGTTGTACATGAGTCAAATAAAATTATTATAAGCGAAATCTTCACCATTAAAGTTTGGTGAGCTTATTGGCTAAGGTCAGTGGCAACTGTTTGGTTTCTCTTTTGGCTAAATGGTGAATGAAGCAACCATGTATACAAATCGGGTGTTCGCAGGTATTCAGGTCAAAACAAAAGTTGTAAATTATCAATTTGTGTTCAATAAGTTCTGTTAATGGTTAGCATGTCAGTTTCTTTTACACTATTGTATGTTGTTAACTTTCCCGTGCGTGCTTTTTTTTTTCTTCCCCTTTTTGCTCTTGCCTTTCTGTACTCTTCTATCCCCTCTATCCCCCACCAATCACAGCAGATCCCTGAGCCTGTTTTTTGGAGGTCTCTTCTTGTTAAAAGGAAGCTCTTCCTTCCCACTTGTTACCAAGCATGTGCACTGATTCATTGGGTGGGGGGGGTTCCTCTAATATATTAGGGTCTTGGGTCTTCACCTTGCCATGTAGAGCACTTTGAGGCAGCTTTAGATGGGAGTTGGCGCTGTATATAAAAGTGAATTGTCAGACATGCTCTTGTTTATGAAAAAGAGAACAGAATCTAAAAATAGCAAATAATCTAGAGTTGCCTGTAAAAACAACAAAGTACGTGATTTCCTCTCTCATTTTCAGCCATAAATGAGTATACATACTTCTTTAATTAGTAGTTTACATATCAAAACAGTTACAAAACACAATAATGAAAACAAAAGCAAAGATGATGCATTTTCACAGAATTTGTGAAGAGGACAGGAATGGTGTTTATGTAGGAAAAAACCCCAAAAGAACTCAATTCTAAGTATTTGGTCTATGTTGAGATTGCAATTATTAAACACAATTTCTACCATTTAGTAATTTAACTGAAGGGGGGGGGGTGTCAAGATATTGAGGGTTTTTTGGGGGGATTTTTTAAGACAAAATTGTGATAACACTTGGGGGGTTAGTTGCACAGTCTTATTGGTAGAGACCTCCAAGTATAACAGAGCAGCCATTTTTCCACAGGAAGCCACTTACAGCACACTTATTCAAACTGCCCCAAAATAATCAAATGCTAGGAAATTAATTTGATAAAATCACAAAGAAGTAAAATGAAGTAAGCAGTTATCCAAAAAGTATGTTGTCAAATAGATTAATTTCAACAGGTGCGTGTGAGCAGGAAACACTGAAATTAGTGCTGTTTATAATAAGGCAAGACAGATTTTGCACTCACTATTTCAAACTTAAATTTCTCTAAAAGTACGAATGTGTTACCTACACATCATCAGCACACTTTTTTCCTTTATCAGTACCAGGAAAAAAGTGTGCTGATGATGCAGGCCAAATGTAATTAGGCTGGCCCACGGGCCAGAGTTTGACACCTATGAAATACAGGATCTCTGGAGAGACTTGAATATAACTATGTGCATCAAAACCTAGGTGTGCTGAGCATGTATCATTCCTAAGTAGACTTTGAGTTTAATATTGCTACCAGGGTCTGATTTTCAATAACATATCAGAGTAGTTATATATGAAAAGATGAAATCAATTTAATTGTCTGAACAAAATGCAGAAAATTTCAAAGGCGACAAAAGCTTTCTGACTACGCTGTTTGAGTTTACAGATAAATCAAAAATTATTCAAAAAACATGGACTTCCATGTTTATCAGTTAAAAATAGCGTCTTAGACATGTACTAAATTAAAACCTGTTAATATAAATTCAGATTAGGTGCAAATCAGCATCCGTTTTGCTTTTTTCCAAACATTGCTTACCTCGTCTTTCTTAACGGTTTTTCAGAATGTCATCAGAGGATAAGACTGTGGAGCCCTCTGACCAGGGACCCTCACCGCCATCAAGCAGTGTAGGGGCCACATCCACAGGAAGTCCTGCCCACGCAGACAAGCGACCACGTGGCAGGCCGCGCAAGGATGCTGCTGCCCTCCTACCCCAGGCACCACCCTTATCCACGTCTAAGAACAGAAAAAAGTAGGTTTTTACCTTTGACATTCAAATCAGTTTGTATTTTTAAAGCTCAGGGAATTACTTATTCTTGCTGAATTGGTTAGCATTGCTAGTGCAGTAACTTTATGTAATACTTTTTGTAAGCAGTGGTCTGGTGCCGTACCTCCTCTAAAAATGCTTAGGTTTAGACTTTAAATTAGTCTTGAAATTTTTCTTGACATTGGATTCGTAAGATGTGCGGAGCCAAAAAAAGAAGTGTGAATCCCATATTCTTTTCAAACTTTATATATTTTAAATATCTGATATTACCTGCTTCACCATTTCCCCTTAGTGACAGCGCAGGTGAGGTTTTAGAGACATACCCATATGTCTCTCATATTGGATTTTCTTAATTATCGTCCTCTTAAATCCAGAATCTAATTTAAGATCCTTCTCGTCGCATTTAAGCTTTTAAATAATCAGGCTCCATCTTATCTCTAAGACCTCATAGTACCGTATCACCCCATTAGACCACTTTGCTCTCAGACTGTGGGTTTACTTGTTGTACCCAGGATATTTTAAAGTAGATTGGGAGGCCTCTCTTCTGTGGAACCAGCTCCCAGTTTGGATTCTGGAGATAGATACCCTCTCTACTTTTTAAGATTACGTTTAAAACTGTTTGATCTTATAGATAAGGCTGGATCATGTAACCCTGAACCCTCTTAGTTACGTTGCAATCGGTCTAGGCTGCTTCCTTTAATGCACTGAGCGCTTCTTCTTCATTCACTTTTTCCCCTCTCACTGTATTTATACACCACTCTGTATTTAATCATTAGTTTTGTGGATTTTTTATTTATTTTTTTATTTCTGTCTCTTTTCCATTAATGTGTTTTTTTGTGCTGTCTTCCTCCTCTTACCCTAACTGGTTGCATAGATAGCTGCCTGTCCCTAAGCCTGCTTTTTTTTTTTTTTTTTTTAAAGTTTCATCCTGCTAAAAGGGTTTTTTTCCTTTCCACTGTCACCGAGCACTTTTTCTCATGCAGTCATCTGAATTTGTAATTTTGTCTGTGTTATTGTAAGGTCTTTACCTAACAAAATAAAACACCTTGATGCTTTATGTGATTCAGCACTATATAAATAAAATTGAATAGGGAATTACTTAATTCTTGCTGAATTGGTTATTCTTGCTGAATGCGATCACAGCAATGATTAAGGGTGTTGAACCTGGGCAACATTTAATATTTGGCCAAAAATAAGCCTTGGGAATTTGTTGCTGTTGCAATGGGCACAGTGGAGTAGATCTGCAGTGTTCACCACAACCGAGAATTGATACGCGTAAATGATTACAAATACATGGTTTTCTTCTTAAACTATTCTTGTGATCAAAGTTTAGAAAATTAGGCTACAGTTCTGTAACCGACATTTGCAACACAGAGTGAAAAATAAATTTAACTTGCTGAATCGGACTCGTAGACTTTAGAAAGTCATGTATGGTATTTAAACCCCTTTACTTTTACATAACACTGTAAACTTGATAACAAAACCCCAGAAAACTATGCAAGATTTTATAAGATGGTTGTGGTGAGACTTACCGTTGCACTCCTGCCACCATGTACATCACTCTATGTGAAATTTTACAGTAAACCTAAGAAATCATAGTAACAGTGGTAACTTAAAATCTTTCACTGGTTATTATTTTTATTTTTATGTATTTATTATTCATGGTAAGTTAAGTACACAAAACCAGCTTTGGAAAAATGGGTGATCTTGCCTTTTATTATTGCTTCTCCTCCAAATTCTGTCAGGTGTCATGAGCTTAAATACCCCATTCTGTGTTACTGCTTATTAAATCCAGTGCTTACCTGGTAAGAGACAGCATTAAAACTTAATCCCATGTTATTAAACAAAAATATCAAGGTGGTGCATAGGAAGCATTGGGGAAAAAAGCCCTCAGTTTAAATCTGAAAATGGTCCTTATGCTATATGTGGCATATTTAAAGTGGTCTGAACCTACTTTTGGCTGCTCCTATTTGAATCCAAAGGGATTTGTGTTTCCTCCTGGAATTAAAGTGGGGGCCTTTTGCAGTGTACTCAATAGTACCGTGGTTGACCACTTCTTACTTAAAGTAGTCTGAAACTACAAAATATTTTATGGTCATTCTAGCATTGCATAAGTTACTACTTTAAGTCCTTTGTAGAAGTCCTTGGGGTTTTAGCAGCTTGATTTCACGTAATTCCACCACAGATGTTTAGGCTCCGTGCAAGGTGTCCTGCTTCTCTGTGACTTCCTTAGCAACATACAATGCAGCTTAGAGCTGTAAAATAATGCCCGCAAGGTTCTTAACTCTCTCCTCAGTCTGTCCTCTCATTCAATCTCAATACCCTGTTCCCAATGGATCGTTTAATCTCCAAGTATTCAGACAATACATTAATGCCACAGTAGAAGGATGACCAGGGACACACTTGAAATACTTAATGTTGTTTAACTGGTCACGAACTAACCATCAGCAGTTTTATTTATATCTTTGTAATGGCTAGGGTTTTGTTAAGAATCAAGAATAGAATTACAATTTGTATATATTTTAAAGTATGTCATTATTTTTGCAGAATAGGCTGCTGATTACACACTTATTTAGCTCTGCCACAATTATTTATCCCCTCTTAGATTTCATTTAATTAGATACAAACACCTCCTGAAAGCTAAATTGCAAGCTCATATTCCATAAAACACCCCCAACACAGTGATTACAGCTTTGTGAATTCAGACAATTTACTCCATCCCGATTTCTAATTACTGTTGGTCATAAAAGTCTACAGGCTAATGAGGAATGGCTGGTCCTCTAAACTGTACTGTAACTTGTAATCGAACCATGGTGAACACTTATAACGTCATTCTAGACCAATTAATTGTTCTCATAGGCTAATCAGCTTCATTCTGTGGTGTATGTTTTAATTTTAAAATTGTCATAGATAAGTGTGATTAAGGGTATTGATTTGTGACAAAGGTGGATGCTCTATAAATCGCTGTTGTAGACCTGATTGGTTAGAATTTACTAGATTTGCTTATGCTCCATCTGCTAGTCCATCTCTTCCAGAGCAACATGATCCTTGTCAGGTTTTCCAGGCAGCACTGTGCTAGCTGGGACTACTTACCAGAGCATTATTTTCACCTTTTCTTTTTTTTTTTTTTTTCCTTTTTTTTTTCTCCCTGTCTCTCTTGCTCGCTCTCCCTGTGGTAGGACTGTGGGGGGAAGTTGTGCAGGGTATGGGACCCGAACACTAGTCTTTTGCATTTGTCAGTGACATAACTGGCTGTCTGAATGCTGCAATTTGATCTCATTAGTTCTGAATAATATAATATACAGCTTGATGCTGTGTGGTGGTCTGTGCAAAGACGTCACTGCCAACAGCTGTTTTCAGGTTGTGATCATAGGCTTATAACTGCTCATATATCAATTTGGGCTTGGTTTCTGCTATTAGATACTAGAAATACTTGAAAGATAAAAATTGTATTTAATGAAAATTTTACTAGATCGTAGTAGTAGTAGTAGTAGTAGTAGTAGTAGTAGCAGCAGTTGGCCATGTACTAAGCATACTACATGTAGGACTGCAACGATTAGTCGACTAGTCACGATTACGTCGACTATCAAAATCGCCGACGACTAATTTAATAGTCGATGCGTCGTTTGAAGCTTTGTAAGATCCCAAAAGACGCAGGAATAAGTAGTAGGATTTAAGAGTGTAATAGCGGACTGAAACAAAAGATGGCAGCACTGCATGTACAAGGATGCCAGCTGCCGTTAAATCCCGAAGAAGAAGAAGCAGTGTCCGGTATCGCAGCCGTGTCCAAATTCAGGAACCGCATCCTCCTGTGCCCGCATTTGTAGGCCGATTACGTTACAGCGACACGACGAAGACTGTCCAAATTTGAAGACTCCGACAAATGTGCCCTTCATTTCCCCAGATTTAAAGGATGGGTCGGGTGTGTACTTCGTGGCCCAATCTATCACAGAATTCATAGCGCGGCCCAACTCAGTTTCCAACAATAGCGGCAGCTAGTTAGTTTTAATATTACTCTTATTATACTTTCTGGGTCACAAAATAAACATTACACATAATTTCAGGCGAGCATGTAGCTGTGTAAACTTCAAATATCTGCTCAGTTTATCAAGACACCACATATTTTCAAAAGCGCTCCAACGTTTTTGGAAACATCTGTTACTCACCAGCTCGATAGCTAGCCGAGGTTCAAGGCTCACTAGAGCCGGTGAGAACACCGGACTCCCGGCAAATCGTTTTCAAACCCACTGCCGTCTTTCGCTACTCAGGTTAAACATGATATATAAGTCACTTAGATAACTTAAAAATGTTATCGTTTGGCTTTTTTCAGTATTTTATTTGTTCCTGAGTAAATCGGTTTGGCTGAGATTAAAGTTATAGTTTTTACACAGCTGAATAAACGTCAAGCAGACAACTGATTATCAGAAGTGTGAGATGCTCGAGAATATGCTCCGGAGTCCTGTTATATTTTAGATAGCAAGGAGCAGACGGCTGAGTTTATTAAACTCCACCGAAACAATCTGCTAATTTCATTAAAATTTAATAAACTATCATCTTGTCTTTATTTTTAGTTAGCACACACATTTTTAGTTAAACACTTAAAGCTGTAAGCTAATGATAGTTATATAAGAGCAGATGCATGCTGGTGTAATAAGCTGTACGTTTTACGTCCAATGGATGCATGATCTGATTAGTCGACTAATCGCAAAAAATAATCTGTGACTAGTCGACTATTAAAATAGTCGTTTGTGGCAGCCCTAACTACATGGTCATCTCATAAATGGTTTGATGCTCTTTTATACCTTTATACATCTTTAGCTGGTTATTGGTATGGACATGAGTTTGTTTTTTTTTTTTACATGTTCTTACCATATTGACCAGGTTTGAATAATATACATTCACTGGACAATTTGTTAGGTACGCCTACCCAGTGCTGGGTAAGAGCCCATTTTAGCTTTAGAATATTTGGTCCATATTGACACAAT